GGGTTTAATATTTTTCCTAGAACTTTTTTTTTTTTTTTTTTTTTTTTTTTTTTTTTTTTTTTTTTTTTTTTTTAAAAAAAAAAAAAAAAAAAAAAAAAAAAAACAAAAAACCCAAACCAAAAAAACCCCCGAAAAGCCCCCCCCCCCCCCCCCCAAAAAAAAAAAACCCAACCCCGCATGTCAGAGAAGCTACACAGACAGTTCTGCCTTCCCTGTGATGTCTTTAGCATCAGTCTGGGTAGACTCTGCAGATGTCTGAGATCTTGCTGAAAATCAAGTAATTTCTTCCTGCCAGGAAGTTTTGGCATTTCCACTGTGAGCCACTGTATCATTTGTGTGGCTTTGCAAAAAATGGCGGGAGTGGCAGATTTTTGCCTGTTCCTTTTTTCCTGTGAATGTGGCAGAACTAGGATCTGGCAATTCTAGTAGATGCAGAGTTTTAATACAGCTGTATAGATCCTAAAATCCATTAGGATCCACAGAAATCCTTTGCTAAGAATACCCCAAAGCATACCTAAGAAGAAAAACATGCCATTGGCTGAAGTCGGGCTGGTTTTGCCAGTGTGTGTAGCTTGACATTGACTGCGTTTGTTTCAGCTCTGAATAAGGGCTTTAGTGATTGACAGATTGTCAGATTTTTCGGTTTTATCAGTTGTGTAAAAATGTATTTGCTCAGTTTAACAAGCTTTACTCCATTTATTTCAGTAGACTCTTAGAGCTGCATCAGATTATTGTTACCTTCTGTACAAATTTTTTACATTTGTCTGAATATTACTGTTTATAGGAAGTCTTTCAAAACTAAACCACATAGGTAATTTAAACAAGTTAATGTTGCTCTTGAGGCTTCAGTTCTTTTTCCTAAAATTACTAAGGTATGTAAGATTTAATTACTATTTTTTATACTACTTACTATTATTTGAAGAATAATAGTATACATTTAACCTAGTGTTGCCAAGGCGTGCACTACTATTAAAACAGGTTAGGTGAATGGATGTTTTAATACATGAGACAGCACCCTATTGTGCCCAGCTGTTGCTGGCATGCTTGGCACTTTCTCAGATGAGAGTCTGCTGGTTTGGGGAGTAAAATTTTCGAAACAAAAAATCATTAAAGAGTCAGTAACACAAAATTAAACTGAGGAGATACCACTGAGGTTCTCAGCTGTCAGGGCAAAATAAGACACTCCAGAAAGGCACCTTTCCTTTTACTCTCTCCGAATTGTAGATCATAGTCGGGCAGCAGAAAGGGCATCTGAAAAGCTGGAATCTCTGCTCTATTTTTCTGGGATCACAAACATTTAGAGTACAATAAGAACTGTCTCTTTAAACAACTGATGAACAGCGTCCTGCAGAATTTTGTTGGGTTTGTAGGATTCACTGTGCATTCATATGAGTAGTTTAAAATTCAGTTTTAAATAAGGTCCAGTTTAAACTCTGGGTAATATTCTAATCTTAAGAAATAATTACAGTTTGCTGCACCTGTGTTCTGCTCAATTCTGTTTGCATTTGTGTTGTGGATTATGATTTAAGTATTTCTGGTTTTAGATATTTGAAATACTGTCAGCAACTGACAGCTTTCAAAATTAGCAATTTAGATCCCTGTAATCTAATACTTAAGACTTGCAAAAATGAAAATTTGAGTGTGGTTGAAAATTAAACCAAGCAACAGTGTGACAGGTTGTGCCTCTGATACCTTTCTTAGCAAGTAGAACTTGATTTGAGAATGCTTCTGCAATGAAAAGGCATATAGCATAGGAACTATTCGGAGCTTTTAAAATTTTTGGAGTTAACTGCATATGCGGTTCAGGGAATGGAAAGTAGCTGTGCAGTGCTATGATTAATCCATTAATTCCTGCATTATAAGGTGTTCACCTCCATTTATATTCAATGGAGTGCTAATTTGGTTTGTGATTCTTGTTGTGGGTTTTTTTCCCCATCTGAATTTCATTTAAAAGAACTAAAAATACATCAATACCTCTGCTGTATAAATTAATGATCTTTCTCTCTTGCAGTTTGTTAGGCTGACAAAATAATGTCTAGAGACAGTCAAAACACTTAACTGAAAATGTTTCATTTCGGCATTCCTAAATGTAATTCTTTCTTAGCAATCTGAATTTAGGTAAATTTACACAGTTTGAAATGAAGAGTGATTCGGTATAGATGTTTTCCAAACTGCTTAGACATTTTTGTGACATTCTTTTTGAGTATGTTTTTTTCAACCAGAAACATCACGTAACTGTGTTTTTTCAGTCAGTTTAACTGTGTGCCTCAAAAAGTTGTCTGGCTGCATTACTGTCACGCATCTTAATAAGAGTGGTTGCCATGGCAGTCAGGGATATTAGGAATATCTGACAGTCTCTATGACTGTCTGACATTATCTGTTCTGATGCACCTCTGCAACATCCTCTGCTGCTGGAAGTTCCCTGTAGCCTAGAAATACAGATCGAAGAGAAAGTGCCCTTTCTTTAGAACGTCCTGCGTATTGTAGTAGGTGTTTCTGCACTAATGGAAAGTCTCTTCTTTGTTCACTAAGACCTGCTGTTATTAGTTATGGATGGCTATTTTTGATAATACTTGATAATATACTTGAAATATTATCAATACTTGAATATACTTGAGTATATTAAGTATATTATCTCAAGACTCCCTGGAAAGCATGTAATAGAACTTCATTGGGGATAGAATATGTTGATGAATTTAGATCACGCTTATTTTCATGTATTTTAGCAAAATATGAGTACCCCATGTATATACCCAAGATACCGTATATGTCCAGCTCAGGTGCTGTTTCACCTTTCCATTTTGGCAGGGTTGTTTTCCTTATCTCACTGTACAACGTTACATTCAGAGTTATGAATCTCCAGAAAACAGTTGCTAGGGAATTGGAGTAATTTCTAGATAAACCCACAGGATGTGTTTGGCTTAAGAAGCCTGAATGAAAATACTAGGTGCAAAGTATATGTTGCTTTTTAATATCTCATGTTTCGCTTAAGCAAATATTTAATTTGCGTCATGATATTTGGAGAATAGTTTGGATAATTCTTACAATGGCTGTGTAGAGGTAAAAAGACTGAAAGAATGGTTGATACTTCCTTTCTTCTCTCCACAGCTGGTTACTTGCAATTCATGCAACAAAACAACAAGACATTATGGTAAAAGCAGGGATTTTCTAACTACCAAGACACACAATTCTGGCACCCCGAGCGTTAAATCCAGCCTGAGAACACCAGATGTAAAAAATCAGTCTGCAAACAAAGTGACACCTGTGGGCTGCAGTAGTTTGGGATCTAAAGGGAACACTCCCTCATCACTTCTCAGGTATCTCTTTCTCTCCTGATTAAAGAGTAGAGTATATTACATCCTGTTAGGAAAGGGTGTCAGGTACTGACTTCAGAACGATCACTTAAAAAACTTTAAGTTGATAACTAAGAATTTTTCTTAGTGGTCTGACTGAGGATATCAATTTTAACTTTCCAACCTTTAAAATCAAAGATTCTGATGAAAAGTGACTATGTACAAAAAATGCCCAGTTGTGGTTTTGTCATTAATGTGAAGTGTCTAGCTTAAAATTTGCATAACAAAGTTATACTTCTGACCACTTTCACATGAAAATACATTATTTACATTCAAAATTTTTCACTTGAATTCTATATATGCACTTCCATAGTTACTTCATATTAATTTTGATTCCTCACCTTTATCACATTTGAGTCTTTTGTTTTTCAGAACCAGCTCTGCTTCCAAGACTCCCAGAAACTCCAAATTTCACTTCTCTAAGCTAAAACGGATGCTTGACCTAGAAGAAAAAGAGAAAAGCCAGAAGGCAGATTTGAAAACCTTCTTGACTTTGCTTTAGTTATTCATATTTTCAAAGTAATAAAGATTACAGCAGTAAGTATTGTTCCAGTTTTAGTAAATCAACAAAGTGATTTCTTTAAAACCTAAGCTAACAGCATGTACCCTGTGTTAAGCGTGGACCGTATTGTTTAGAAGCGAGCTTTGTTTCTAAGGGGACTGATTGCCTGCAAGAGGCAGATGATAAAATAGCCAGTCTGATATGCTTGGGAATCTTGAACACGTTTTGCAGTCTCTCATGGCCCAAGAATTAAAGGCCGGAATCTGTCATTTGAGGAGGCTGACAATACTGGATCCATCAGTGGGTCCAGCAGGACCAACAGGTAGGTTGGCACACCTGAAAGCAATTTGGCTTTCCTCCACCTCCCTCTGCCACTATTTTTAAGGTAATGCATCACAATTGAATTTGAAAGATCTCATCCCTGCTTTGCATGTTTGAGTAAAACAGACACTTTCACCGGCACTTTCTCTAGGCATGTCTTTTTCAGGGATTTAAGTAGTGTCCTGTAATACCGCTGTCTTTTGATACCTGGGGTATCAAAACTAGGTTTGCCCTGGACAGTAGTTAAATTTGTTGCACCAAAGTGTTTTGATGGGAATAGACGATTGTCAAGGTTGAAGTGGTCTCCATGGTCAGATTTTACATTTTCAATTAGGCACAGAGGTGAGGAAGGACAGTAGAAAGTCACCGTTCAGAACAGAGTTCATAGCCTGCCCTGTGTACAGTCTGCAAATTGTGCTTCAGATTTACCATCTGAGAAGAGAAATCAGTCAGTTAAAAACATCTAAATTCTTCGGTTTAAAGGTCTGTATTTTTCTTTTTTTTTTTGTATTCTAATGAATGACTTCCTTTAAGAGTATTCAGACTGAATGAACACTGTTGAAGAAATAGGACCAGTGAATAAGTTGGCAGACTTGAAAGCAATTCAGGGCAGGGGAGAATAGTTCGTTGCAAATTCTACTTACGGTCTCAAAGATCGGCGTGTACCCTTTTTATGTCTCCTGTACACTTGTACAATAACTTTGGAAGGTTTGCTGCTGTTTGTTTCTTACGTACATGGAGGATCAAATTAATTGTCATTCTTCGATCAAAATACGGAACTTGGGAGTTACATCTTTTCCACTGTAGAGCTTGGCATTAATTCACCTGTTGTTGCTGTATTTATGGTCCAGTCCTCTGGAAAAATACTTCCATCTTATTGATGGAAAATGTGCCTTATACAAAAGTATTTGAAAAACAAGTTTTGCAATAAATTTTTATGTTGAAAGTACACAGATTAGGTACTCTAGTGCTGTGCTTCCTGTGAGGCTTACGTGAAACCAGCATGGCCATCTGGTAATGTTTGAAGGTGAACCGATATTAACACATGAGATCAGGAGTATGCTTTTGCAGCAGATCTTCCAACTGTCCCTGTTTACTGTGCTTTCTACGCAATACCGAGAGGTCTCGGAGTATGAGTCATGTTCCTTTTGGATAAAACTACAGCTAATGGATGAAAGTCATAATCTGGGGCACAGCCAGTGTGATGGGAAGGCTAACGGGCAATCTGTCCCCAGGATCACAGGAGAACTGCTCTGAAGTACCCAACTCCAAAAGGTGTATTGTGGATGGCAGGCACTGAGCTTTCAGGTATTCTGCACTCCGGCTGTAGTACTAGTGCAGTGTGCTATTTGGTAGCCTGGACAGTCTTGTCATGCTCCAAAAAACATGTTTTTCCTTGTAATTACCAGAGTTGTCAGACTCGTTCAGGTGTGGTGTTGTAAAGGGATCACTATTGCAAGCTGTCAGACTTCACTGTGGAAAAAAAGGAAAAGAAACCCATTCAGTATGTGCCATTCCTTGCTTTACAAGTGTGCTTCAAAATGCTGGGCAGAAATAAGTGTTGGTACATTTTATCTGAAGTGCTTTTATGTTATTCCTAAGCCTCTAATACAGTCTTTTTCTGTTCGTGGACTGTCACAGAATCAGTGTAGTGAAAACAGAGAGAGACAGACACACACATACATATCTCTGTATATACATCTCTATACACATCAGATGTATATATATATACACATAGATATGTACATACGCGCATCAGATGCACTCTTCCCTTCACAATATATTACATTTCCTCTACTCGATGAAACACTGAGGCTTAATCATTGGCTGCCTCCCCACCAAACCTCTGCCGTGCAGCGCGCCTGGCTTGGGTTTGAAGAGCTGGAAAGACAACTCCAGAGAGAGGAAACAGCTTCACTGCTTTCAGTGAGGCCAGGATTTCACCCCGACTTGTGAAGCAAGGCCAAGAAGATTCTCCATTAAGCATCCACCACTGCCTACAGGTATTTAATAACAGACTGAGAGTTATTTCCCAGCTCATACAAATTCTACTTACGCAATGCTATGTATATCATTGACAGTAATAGCATCATACCATATATTGAAAATGTTATAAAATGTGGCTTAATACAACCAGTGCAACTAAAATGTATTTTCTTTTGAAACATTGGTTTGAGCCATTTTCCCATTTTTGAGTATTGGGGACCTCAAGCTGGCATATTACAGCTGGTTCTCTCACCCCCAGCCCCCCTCTAAAGAAACATAAACTTCAGCCAGACTAGATGATATATGAGCAATATTTCTTTTTAAGAAATTTACAGTTCTAGAGATATGACCTCAGACCTTTTGATGCACTGCTTCCTCACTGAAAACTGTCACTTTATCATACAAAATACAGATTACTGAACTTCAAAATTAGTAACAATCATTTCCTCAGCATCACTATTAGATTTTGGTTGACTGCTAAGTATAGAGGTTGAGTAGGCAAGCAATAAACTGATTTCAAAGATGTTTTTACAACAATGTTTTATTCTATTAAATATGAAAGAGCATACATACAGGTGTTATTCTGAGGACATAAATTACACAAGGATTACACATTGTCAGAAAAGCACAATAATGAAACATCTTTACATTTCAAACTTTTCTTGTTAGCTTTTAACAAATGAGTCTATTTCTGTTGCAAACAAGTAACGAGTGCTATTGAACTTTTGCAAATTCCCACAAAAACATCATGCTTAGTAGGATACTTTAAATATTGTAAAGATGAAATCAGAAATAGATTTCTAAATAACAAGATGGAAGAGATTTACTACTTAATCAAGATAAATGACACACTGAAATAGGAGCTGAGACAAAATTGGTCATTCATTAAAAAAAAATTCCACTTCAGACACTACATTTGAATCTGCTTTCTTTACTTGCAGGAATAGTCACTGTGATTACATGCACGAGTAATGAGCAGAACTGGCCCTACATATTTATAAGTGTAACCATCAAATTTCAGACGTGCTGGTTTTCTAGCTCACTAATTTTTCCACTGAAAAACACCCACACCCATGAATCTATTTGCTTATGTTTCAAAAGCCTGAAACCCAGCTCTTCTGTAGAGGACCTATGTATGATTCCCATGTCTTCCATGGTCATCTGTGCAGGGGCCTCCTGCATCCTATGCATGTGTTTTGGGTCATCACTGAAGTACCAGACTGAGTTACCACTGACTTGTGGGAGCAGTATTAATCTGTGCAAGTCCTAACACATTGTCTTCCTAAACTTCAGGCAAACAGGAATGTAATCTTATCATAATGAACGCTCTCAGTTCAACATTCTACTACTCAGATAAAATACGTAACAAGCACGTAGTACGGGTTGTGTTGCTAGCCATTAACTGAGGTGGTTTAATATATTAATACATTAACGGAGTGAAACAGGCTAATATTAATGCAGGCTGTGGTTTAATTTTCAAAAGGAGTAATGAAACACAATTTCTAAGAATGGTAATTTTTGTAACTAAAGACTACACATTTATTTTTAAAACCACAGAAGTGGGGTAATATTCCTGATATCTTTCAAAACATTCAGCAAAAACACAGCTTGAGCCTGCAAACACTAAATATACAAGCAGTCCCAGTGACCTCCAAGGAGGGCATTCTCGTGTGGCAAAGAGCTGCAGGATTGTCTTTGCTTTTTTCAGAGAATGCTCAATGAAAGTGCAATATAGTGAAGCAAATAATCTAATTATTATGCTTTTATTATTTGATGAAAAATGTTCAGATATTTTATAATTGTGCCTTCAGTAGGGTGGGCATTCTGGTTTGAGGAGAGTCAGACCAAGTTAGAAGAAAGGGGCAGGGTACACCCACACATTTTCTTTCCCAGGCTGGTAATGCCCCAATTACTGTACAATCCCACCTACAGCTAAAACATTGTGCTGCCCAGTGTCACGCTGCTATTGCTGTTTTGACAGAAGCTGACATTTGTTTTGCTTTTCGTTTCCACCCAGGCATGTTCTCCCTTTCAGCCCCTGGGCACCCTTCCTTTCCCCACCCAGCCTCTTTTCTTCCTGAGATGTCAGAAGTACGTACATTAAGCTTTGGAACCTGAGAATTTGGAGGTATTTTTTTGATACTACAGGGCTGCATTTGTATCGTACCATGTTATTTCCTGCTATGCTATTACAGTTACAATATAAATCTTCTAACTAGTTGATACCTGATGCCTTTCCCATACAAATAAAAAAAGCCACATACCATTCAGCCACTAAAACATGACAATTGCAAGAAGAGTGATGTTTACCTTCTGCAAGTCCTCTTTTCCAAACAAATGTTGAGGGATCATTTCCAAAATCCCAGCTATGAAATATTCCTTGAAGTAAACAATTTCACAGTAAAATAAAGAAAAATATATCCAGAAAATAGCACTCTCTCAAAATTAAAACTTATATACATCAAGAAGAAGTTGAGATTTTTCCTCGTTCTTTTATCAGTTCTACATTATCTGTAGATAAGCAACATTATCACTAAGAGTTATGTATAGGAAAAAGAAGTCTAGTGAAGTAAGTGTCCTGTCTTTTTCAATACCCTTGAAAGATCAAGGAAATTCAGCATTCAATTGTAGTACTATAATTAATTTTAGTTAAGGTAGCAAAAGACGGTTTAAGCTTAATTCCCTGTGGCTTTGAGTATCCAAGACTTAGATCCCTCAATGCACTCTGAACAAGCCATGCTGCTGCACTTACAATTGCCTCTGGGTACAAATTAAGTTTTCCATGGATGAGATTCAACCGTGATCTCACTATTTATCCTTCATGTTCTTTGATTCATTTTACAATTCTTAATAGATTAAGCTGTTTTAATATTTATCACAAATTTGGTGCTATCCTTTAGCAAGACTGAGCTTTAACTGCAACTGTAATGCACATACATGTATGTAGGAATTTATGAGCTGAATTTAACATACTAGAACGGAAATATTTAAAACACTAAAAATTTTATCTGTACACTCATTTTCTTATTAAGAATCTATGTTAAAAAGATGCCAATGAGTGCTATTTAATTTTGCATATTAGACTTAAACTAAAGAAACACTCCTCTGGATTCATTACAGTTAGCTCTTTGTTCCTATGGAGTGGAAAATTGCCACTTAAAACTTACAAGTCTTTGGACAGTTAGTGAGCTCTGCTGAACTATTTTCAGCACTTCTATCTGTCAGAATTTTTGATAAAATTAGAATTCCACATAGCATGCTACAGAATGCTATGTCAACAGCTGCATTTTTATCTTTTGAGTTTTTCCCCCTACTTAACTGAGGTCTAATTCATGGCAACTTCCATGAGAAAAGATAATTGGACTGAGGTGCTTATGTCCAAGTGTATCTACTTTAAAGAGAAAGATTATTCTCCATTCACATCTAACAACTATTCCAGCGATTAGCCTTGTAGAAGTCAGTAAGAAGTGACAGATCACTATCTTCAACAACTTCACTCCAGCACTATTTTGAATTGTTGTGGTTTTTGTAAAGGAAGAACAGATTTTTTTAAAAAAAATTTGCTTTTATGTGAGGAGTGTTAAACTTGTAAACTGTGAACTTAACTGATGCAAAGCAATGCCTGAAAAGTGCAAACCCATGAACAAAATGCTATAATCTTTAAATACCCTGGTGACATACCCAACTCAAAACCCTTGCAGCCCAGGTTGTTAAGGTCATCTAAATGCCAAAGGTACAGACAGGCATTTTTAAAATCGCTGCTAGACTTACTTGCCTAATTCCTATTGACTGAAAAGCCTAAACTTTCTGGCAATCTGCTAGATGCCTGTCTGTATCTTTAGTGAACTTAAAAGCTGGTGTATAGTACGGTAACAAAGAATTTTCACAAATTCAGCTACCTGTACACAAATACCACACTTGTGCCATGCAAAGGACTTTGTTTTTAAAAAAAAAAATAGAGACTAGGCAATCATTTTCCACAGTTTCACTTATACACAGGCCTGACCTGTCTCCTCCTATTCTGTGAGAAAAGACAATCAAGATCTAGAAATGTTTGCTGGAAGGGGTGGAAGTAGGGGCTGGAAGCCTACACTGGCCTCCGGGGTTTCTCAGTGGAAGATGTACAGCACGGCTGTATCACCGTGTGCCTGCTTGGATGGATGGTACATAGCATTGTCAAATTTTAATAATGGACATTTAACAACTGGGACAGTTTAGAGAATGACCTTTGAATTTAATTAAAGCTGTGAAATGGCTTCACATTTCTGGGATTAACCTTTTTAGATGGAGACACATGTTCCAGAAAGGGATTAGAGTACATATGAATGGTCTCTCAATTTAGAAGCTAAGCAGCTGTAAAAAGTAAGTTACAATTTTGAAACATAATTAAACTGGTCGATTGTATAGTTTCTTATGCTAAATTTTACGTGATACTAAAATATTGCAATATTTTGAGTCATTTAGGTATCTGCTCAGTGTAACATGATTTATGTTTTCCAATATAAAATCGGTTGCTAACATTCACTTCAAAAAAACCCACCTGACTTGTTTTGGGAGTGGGTAACGGACAGTAAGATCACTTTTAACTTTGCATTAAATTGTATCAACCTTCTTACAAACATAAGCTTGAGATTTCCACATTTCACTCCCTCACTAGCAACTGAAATGTCTTGAGTTAGAAGTATGCGCTGATTATATGCTGACTTACATTAAATACAGGGTACATAAGAAAAATCTTAGCATGTTTTTTATAGGGCACCCAACTAAAATCTTTACAAAAGATAAGCTAATTATCCATTCTTCAATGTAATAGACACAGATGCCACTTTTATAAATGTACCCTTATGTTCACTCGCCAATAAAATAGTAAACAAATCAACTTTTTAAACCATTTTTTATAAATTATTAGAGTATTTTTACTGACACTCTCCAACAATATACAAAAATAATACTACAAGAGTACCAATCAGTCTGACCTACCCCCCTCATTTCACAGAAAAGTAGAGGTTATGGAAGGATGTTCTTGCAATCAATCATCACTGTAGATGTCTCCTGCAAACGGTAGGTGTACGTGGCTGCCTGTGACGTTGGGAAGTCGGGAGAGATCAGGCAGGTTCTGGATGCGTGACCTGAGTTCTTTCCGTACTTGGGACACCCTGGCGAGCTTGCGTTTGTACTC